TTTTTTTAATTAAAAAAATATATACATATATATCTAGGAATTTCTCTGGAGTTGTTGCGGTCAGTGTAGGTTCAGTTCAATTTCAGATAGCCCCTCTTTCCAGCTTATACTTCTCGATATCTATAGGCCCCTTCCGCTGTAGTCGGTGTTACCTTCAGGGATTTTAATCTGTTGCACCAGTCCTTTCTGAAGCGGTTCCCTTTGTTTATTTGGCTTCTGTTTGCCTTCTCTTTGGTGTCTAATTTCCGCCCTGACACAGGCGGGTGGAGGTGATCTCTTCTTTAGGTTCGCTAGTTCAGTTCAGTCCTGCTACAGGGAGGGCGGGGCGCTGCAGACAGATACCACTCTGTGTGGATAGCACTCACCGTGTTCCGGCCACACTGGGTTTGCCCCGCTCACAGGTGTCAGTGCTTTCGCCGTCTACACTGCTCAGGCTCCCAGCTGCTCTATATGGAGCGGGCCCTGCATTGAGTGCGGTTCCAGTTTTCGGGTACTCCACAAAAGGGCGGATTCGGTTGTGCCTGCGTTTTGTGCCTTCCCTGGCCTGAGCGGTTCAGGTAGCCAGAGGCTTGGGCGCACTCTCCCCGGATGCGGCGTGCCTTTTCCCTCCGCGGTGAGCGGCCCAGGAAGCCAGAGGCTTGGGCGCACTCTCCCCGGATGCGGCGCGCCTTTTCCCTCCGCGGCGGGCAGCTCAGGCAGCCAGAGGCTTGGGCGCACTCTCCCCGGATGCGGCGCGCCTTTTCCCTCCGCGGCGGGCAGCTCAGGCAGCCAGAGGCTTGGGCGCACTCTCCCCGGGTACAGCGCGCTTTTTCCCTCCGCGGCCCCAGCGCGCACCGCCAGTCGGGTCTCAGAAGTCTTTAGATAGGAACCGGGGGCCTGTTTGCAGAACCGGGGGCCTGTTTGCAGTGTGGGAGGGGGTGGCTTCTCTGGGGCTGAGTTTGCCCTTTTCCCCTCCCCCCTGCCTCCTACCTCCAGTGGGGATGGGCCAGCTCTTCTCTGGAGTTTCTCAGTCCCTTTGTTTTGCGAACCGCCGGCAGTGTGTTCGGGCCGGTTAATTTTGTCCCTTGCTATTCCACAGTTTAAAAAGCTCCCTCCGATTGCTCTCAGGGTCTTCGGGCCGGTCCTTACCCTAAGCAATGCCGCCCGCTCCTCTCCGTTCCGCCCCCACTTGTTGCTGGGGGGTACGGGCTTCTGGGGTACTTTTCTGCTGGGAGTTGCTTTTAGGCACGTAATCTGTGGGCTTTGTTTAATTTTTCCTCCCAGTTAGATTGCCAAAAACTTCCCCCAGTCCCGCCAGTGTGAGGGTTTCCTGGTGATTGGAAACTTCCTCTATTAAGACTCCCTTCCCAGGACGGGTCTCCGTCCGTAGCTCTTTTGACTCCTTTTTTATCTTTTATATTTTGTCCTACCTCCCTTCGAAGACAATGGGCTGCTTTTCTGGGCGCCTGATGTCCTCTGTTAGCGATCAGAAGTTGTTTTTTGAAATTTGCTCAGCGTTCAAATGTTCTTTTGGTGAATTTGTAGGGGAGAAAGTGGTCTCCCTGTTCTATTCCTCCGCCATCTTGGCTCCTCCCCTCCTCGAGAAGTTCTACAGATTATGCTTTAAAAAAAAAAACCCACCAAAAAATAAATTGTACATTTATGGCAACGCTGTGTCAGGCAAGTACACTGGCACCATTTTTTCCTGTAGCATTTGCTCACTTCATGTCTCTGTCACGTTTTGATAATTCTTGCAATATTTAAAACCATTTCATTATTATTGTATTTATTATTCTGATCTGTGATCAGTAGTTTTTAATGTTACTACCCTATAAATGCTCAGATGGTTAGAATTCTTTTAGCAATAAAGTATTGGAAATTAAGGTATGTACTTTTTTTATATAATGCTACTGTACATCATTAGACTACAATATAGTATAAACATAACTTTTATTTGCACAGAGAAGTGAAAAAATCATATAACTTGCTGTATTTTGATATTTACATTGTTGAGGTGGTCTGGAGCCAAATCCAAAGTATCTTTGAGGCCTGTCTGTACACAGAACACTTGAGCCACATATATACATACTACAACCTGCCTGTATGCAGAGAATGGCCCATCTATATTATATGACTTAGGGTTAAACATAAGGTACAAAATGTCCTGAGAAGCTTGTATGCAGATCAAGAAACAACAGTTAGAACAAGACATGGAGCAACAGACTGGTTCAAAATTGGGAAAGGAGTACTTCAAGGGTATATATCGTTACCCTGCTTATTCAACTTACATGCAGCATACAGCATGTGAAATGCTGGGCTGGATGAAGCACAAGCTGGAATCAAGACTGTCAGGAGAAATATCAGTAACCTCAGATAAGCAGATGATACCACCCAAATGGCAGAAAGCAAAGAGGAACTAAAGAGCCTCTTGATGAAGGTGAAAGAGGAGAGTGAAAAAGCTGGTTTAAAACTCAACATGCTAAAAACTAAGATCATGGTATCTGGTTCCATCAACTTGATGTCAAATAGATGGGGAAACCGTGATAGACTTTATTTTCTTAGGCTCCAAAACCTCTGTGGATGGTGACTTCAGTCTTGAAATTAGAAGACACTTGCTCCTTGGAAGAAAAACTATGACAAACCTAGACAGCATATTGAAAAGCAAAGACATTACTTTGCTGACAAAGGTGCATATAGTCAAGCTATGGTTTTTCCAGTAGTCATGTATAGATGTAAGATTTGGGTGATAAAGAAGGCTGAGTACTGAAGAATTGATGCTTTTAAACTGGGGTTCTGGACAAGACTTGAGAATCCCTTGAACAGCAAGGAAATCAGACCAATCAATCCTAAAGGATATCAGTCCTGAATATTCATTGGAAGAACTGATGCTGAAGTTTCAATACTTTAGCCACCTGACACAAAGAACCACCTCATTTAAAAAGACCTGATGCTGGGAAAGACTGAAGGCAGGAGGAGAAGCGGATGACAGAGAATGAGATGGTTGGGTGACATCACTGATTCAATGGACATGAATTAGAGCAAACTCCAGAAGACAGTGAAGGACAGGGAAACCTGGCATGCTGCAGTCCATGGGGTCACAAAGAGTGGGGCACTACTGAACAACAACAAAATGTCTTATAGTCATTGTATTATCTTTATAAGATAATAAAATTAGCCAAACCTACCATTCTTATGTTTACTCTCAATAAAGATAAATTCTTTTTTGAAATGCCATGATTGATGTGACAGATTAAGATGTGAAACTTTAGAGGTATTCAAATCAGAAAACATGAAAAGTTCTAAGCATTCTGATTATATTGCTCAGAAAGCCTTAGTTGTTCTTTCTTAAAACCATGAGTTTTAAAACTTTACTGATTTACAAATGATCCAAGCCTATTGTACACTCTCATCAATTCCAGATTTTAAATAGAGATGAAGTCATCTCTTGGGAAGCTTCCTTCTGAGAATTTGCAGTTGGGCCTCCCTGGTGGCTCAGACTAAAGAATCTGCCTGCAAGGTGGGAGACCCAGGTTCCACCCTTGGGTCAGGAAGATCCTCTGGAGCAGGAAATGGCAACCCACTCTAGTATTCTTGCCTGGAGAATTCCATGGACAGAGGAGCCTGGCAATCTACAGTCCATGGGGTCACAAAGTTGGACATGACTGATTGACTTTTTCCACTTAAAAATTTATTGGTAAAAAAGGCCAGTTTCTGCATATATATTTGAATGTGGTTTTATTCCCCACCAGCATTTTACCTAGGAGAAGGAAATGGCATCCCACTCCAGTATTCTTGCCTGGAGAATCCCATGGACCAAGGAGTCTGGCAGGCTACAGTCCATGCGGTCACAAGAGTCAGACATGACTTAGCTACTAAACCACCAAACAACAGCATTTTACATACATTGTATTGATTCTTTAGCCTTTGTGTTAGCGCATTTAACTTCCCTCTGCTTTGGTTTTAATAACTAGACTGACACTTGACATGTGTTTTTCCAAGGTTCAATTGTAAGTATTAATGTATTAATAAAATGCCTTTTGAACTGCTCCGATAAAAGGTCCCATGTAAATAGCAAATGTTGTTTGTGTTGTTGTTGATCTCATTATGCATTATTTTAGAGGTCATTATTTTATCTACTGACCTCTGTCTTTCAAGACTGAGACCTGCATTTTATATTTGAAGATGTTTCCTTTCAAGGTAGAATATAATTAAGATATTTAATATCAGGAAGTGACTTAATTTTTCTACCGAAGAATAATTCCTCTTAAATAAATAACATATCCCTGAGAAAGTGAGTACTTGTTTGTGTATAATACTTCTGACTTGACTTGTTGGTATCTCTGTAAAATTACCCATGTAATTCTCAAGGTCAAATTACACAAGGAGTAGGAATAAAACTAATTTAAAGCTGACTTCTTATGGACCACTTAGGAGACTGCTGGTTTTTCACTGCAGTCAGGTTATGTTTTTTGTCATCTTCTTCCTTTATTTACGATTGTTAGGTACAGACACACACACACACACACACACACACACACACACTACATACACATATGTGTCTCCCCCTTTAACATGTCACATAATGGATACTATGTGATAATTATAGAAAGCAAACAATTTTCTGCATATTAAGCATTAATTCAGGGAAATTTGAATAAAATTGCCTGATATTTTTAGAAGGCATGAAAGTCACTAAAATTTATATTGTGTATTCTTGGGATGATGGTGGTCTCAATCAGGGACATTTGTGAATTTCTGTCATTTTTGGTTGCCACAATTTTGGGGTGGTCCATCTGTTATCTAGTTGGTTCATGGCTACTGTTAATCATTCTACAATATACAGGACAGGCCCCCGACCCTTATAATGGATTATTGTTTGAAAACGTCAGCAGGGCCTTGCTTGAGAAACATAGACTATTCTTTAAATATAATAGAATTTTAAAAATTCATCTTCAACAGTCAGGGTTCTCCTGGGTTTTGTACATCCTGTTAACTCTTCATCCCTCTGGGTCTCTTTACAGTTTGGCATCATGGGAAGAACAGGAGCTGGAAAAAGTTCTGTCATTGCTGCCCTTTTTAGATTGTCAGAACCTGAAGGTGACATTTACATTGATGACATCTTGACAACTAGTATTGGGCTTCACGATTTAAGGAAGAAAATGTCAGTTGCACTTCAGGTATACACAGCAGAGCACTCTCACATGTTCTTTTTATAAAGTTTAAGTGCTTTTAATTTGATTGGTCTTTTCAAGTTAAATGAACGAGTTGAACCTTTTTTCCACAATAGAGCATATTTTTAGCAGTAGGTATTTTCAACAGACACTTTCATTGGATGTCAGGTTGTTTTTGTTGTTGTTGTTGTTCATTTGTTAGTTTTGTGTGCATGTGATTTAATAACTTACTGAGATAGATTTCTGGACTCAGACTTCCTCAGTTTCCACAGTTTTATCCACTGATAATCACATAATTCTGAGAACAGGATAAATGGTTTGTTTAGAGCTGGAGAGGTTCCTATAGGAAACATGAATTTTATTAACAAGTGTCTTACAGATGTAATTTTGCTGTGGGAAATGAGGACATCTTTTCAAAAGTGATTATCACCTTGGAGAACTTTCTGTGAAATTTTGGGGCTTTGAGAATTATGGAATATATAGATCTTTGGGGAGACTTTCATTAATTTAGCCATTAATGAATAATTTTAATCAGAGAGGCAATACAGAATAGTGAAGAAGAGCAGGGGACTCAGAATTCTGTCTCTGTGTACCTTGGATTTATCTGCCTTACAAGGCAGATAACAATATCACCCCCTCAATCTGTTGTGAGGACAAAATACGTCAATGAGTGTGAAGTACTTCATGTAGACCCATATGTGCCTGCTGTGATGGTGAAGTGTTGAGTTGGCCATCTCTTCCCAGGCTCTGATTCTGTTCTCTTTTCTTCTTCTTTGGAAAGTAGTATAACTTTCAGGAAGAGTTTTGGAGACTGCAATATACACATGATAGACACTCCTGTCTTTCCTTGGGTTCATTCACTCAACATAATTCCATGATATTTGCTGAGAAATTACTATTCTCCAGGTATATAGCCAAGGGAAACCTAGATCCTGTGTCCTCATCTATGATCCTGCCCTTTGCTTTGACAGACTTGCTGATTTTTTAATTGAGTTTTTATTTATATACTTAGTAATCATCTGCCCATCAAAGGAAGCTCAGAAAAATACCCTCTTGAGATGAGAAACATAGAGGAGATGAGACAGAATGAGCCAGGCAAGTATGCTTCCTGGAATGTGGGGGTAATATGTCCTGAAATACCTGTTTATCAGGAAGCATGTACAACATGGCACCCAAAGGGCAAGTGAATGTAGACTTGGGTACAGTTGTTTTTACCTACCCATGACCTCTAAAATACCTGGAATTCCTCTAAGTACTTTTAAAGTCAAGCTATTCTTTTCAGACTCTAGTGAAATGCCACCTCACACCCCTTAAGATGTCTGCTATCAAAGAAAATAGAGAGAAAAAAAGAAAATGATTAAGTGTTGACAAGATGTGGAGAAATTAGAATTCTTGTTCAGTGCTGATAGGAATGTAAAATAGTGAGGCCACTATGGAAATCAACTTGTTGGTTGCTCTGAAAAGTTAAAGATGGAATTATCATATGACCTAGTAATTCTACTTTAGAGTGTAAACTGAAAAGAATTGGAAGAAAAGTCTTGAGGAGATGCTGGAACATGCATGTTATAGCAGCATTATTCTCAACAGCAAAAAGGTGGATATGCCCAAAGGTTCATTGACAGATGAATCAACAAGCAAAATGAGGTGCATATACATACAGTAGAATATTACTCAGCCTTAAAAAAGAAGAAAATTCTGACACATGCTACAATACAGATGAACCTTGAAAAAATTAAGCTAAGTGAGATAAGTCATTTACAAAGGACAAATACTGTATGATTCTACTAACAGGAGGTACCTAGAGTAGTAAACAGCTATGAAAAGAAGAGAAGCAAAAGGCAAAGGAGAAAAGGAAAGATATACCAAATGCAGAGTTCCAAAGAATAGCAAGCAGAAATAAGAAAGTCTTCCTCAGTGATCAATGCAAAGAAATAGAGGAAAACAATAGAATGGGAAAGACTAGAGATTTCTTCAAGAAAATCAGAGATACCAAGGGAATTTTTCATACAAAGATGGGCACAATAAAGGACAGAAATGGTATGGAATTAACAGAAGCAGAAGATATTAAGACAAGGTGGCAAGAATACACAGAAGAATTGTACAAAAAAGATCTTCATGACCTAGATAATCATGATGGTGTGATCACTCACCTAGAGTCAGACATCCTGGAATGCGAAGTCAAGCGGGCCTTAGGAACCATCCCTACAAACAAAACTAGTGGAGGTGATGGAATTCCAGTTGAGCTATTTCAAATACTAGAAGATGATGCTGTGAAAGTGCTGCACTCATTATGACAGTGAAATTGGAAAACTTAGCAATGGCCACAGGACTGCAAAAGGTCAGTTTTCATTTCAATCCCAAAAAAGGGCAATGCCAAAAAATGCTCAAACTTCCACACAATTGCACTCATCCCATACACTAACAAGGTAATGCTCAAAATTCTCTAAGCCAGACTTCAGCAATATGTGAATTGTGAACTTCCAGATGTTCAAGCTGGTTTTAGAAAAGGCAGAGGAACCAGAGATCAAATTGCCAACATCTGCTGGATCATCAAAAAAGCAAGAGAGTTCCAGAAAAACATCTATTTCTGTTTTATTGACTATGCCAAAGCCTTTGACTGTGTGGATCACCATAAACTGTGGAAAATTCTGAAAGAGATGGGAATACCGGCCCACCTGACCTGCCTCTTGATATACCTGTAGGCAGGTGAGGAAACACTTAGAACTGGACATGGAACAACAGACTGGTTCCAAATAGGTAAAGGAGTACATCAAGGCTGTTTATTGTCACCCTGCTTATTTAACTTATATGCAGAGTACATCATGAGAAATGCTGGGCTGGAAGAAGCACAAGCTGGAATCAAGATTGCCAGGAGAAATATCAATAATCTCAGATATGCAGATGACACCACCATTATGACAGAAAGTGAAGAGGAACTAAAAAGCCTCTTGAAGAACGTGAAAGAGGGGAGTGAAAAAGTTGGCTTAAAGCTCAACATTCAGAAAACTAAGATCATGGCATCTGGTTCCATCATTTCATGGGAAAAAGATGGGGAGACAGTGGAAACAGAGTCAGACTTCATATTTTGGGGGGCTCCAAAATCACTGTAGATGGTGATTGCAGCCATGAAATTAAAAGACGCTTACTTCTTGGAAGGAAAGTTATGACCAACCTAGATAGCATATTAAAAATCAGAGACATTACTTTGCCAACAAAGGTCTGTCTAGTCAGTTCAGTTCAGTTCAGTTGCTCAGTCATGCCTGACTCTTTGTGACTCTATGAGTAGCAGCACGCCAGGCCTACCTGTCCATTGCCAACTCCCGGAGCTTTCCCAGACTCATGTCCATCGAGTCAGTGATGCCATCCAGCCATCTCATTCTCTGTCGTCCCCTTCTCCTCCTGCCCCCAGTCCTTCCCAGCATCAGGGTCTTTCCCAATGAGTCAGCTCTTCACATGAGGTGGCCAAAGTATTGGAGCTTCATCCTCAAATCAGTCCTTCCAATGAACACCCAGGACTGATCTCCCTTACGATGGACGGATTGGATCTCCTCGCAGTCCAAGGGACTCTCAAGAGTCTTCTCCAACACCACAGTTCAAAAACATCAATTCTTCAGCTGTGTTGTACTCATCAGATATTTTCCCCATTTTTCTTACCACCCCACTTGAAAGGACTCCCCAAACCATAGCAAGAGTGGATAAGTATGTGGCAAAGCCAGAAGATGCTACTCCTATTGCTCTGTCCCTCAATTGGACAGTATCAGTTTAGAAGTGGGTTTATGCACTTGTATGTCATGGGCTGATATGTGTCAGGAGAAGATACTCAAAATGTTATCCCTCTCCAACCAAGAGCCCTTTGTCTTTACAATGTCTTGCTAGTTGCAGAGGTGGAGAAAATCTGTTAGTTTGGTTACTTGAATTTACTTGTCTAAGTGCAAAAACTTACACTCCTCTTCCCCCTAAATGAGTAGGAAGCAGTGATGCTTGTGTCTCAACACCCCATTGTAGGGAACTTAGGAAGCCAAGAGCAAACTCTGCAGAGGGGGAGCCCAGCGCTGTTTCTTTGAGTTGCCTCTCTTAGGTGAGCCAGGCTCACACCATCTTCCCTGGATCCCTGTCCCTGTGATCCTGGAAGCAGCACGGAGCTTACATCATAGTCTCTCTTTCTCCCAGGCTCATCCTCATCACAGCTGACCCCCCCATGAACAGGTCAGAACTAGGGGAGATGTGATGGTGAAAAGGACCTGGGTAGGAGCAGAGACAGGGAGTAGGGACATAGACCATCAGTCCTGGGGGGAACTTTCAAAGATGAATACTGTGTTCTTAAGAAGGTACTCCTCAACTTGTGTTCAAAATTTCAGGAATAAGCAACAATGAAAATTCTTCTTACATAATTTCCTTAAACACAACAGGAAGCTGAAGTATGTGTGTTCTTTGCGCTCTGGATCTGAAGTAGTTAAATATGTCCCCAGAAAGAACACCAATTGAAATTATATGCAGGGAATAGCCTGCTTACTTGAAGGAAAATGGAGGGAAGATGGAGAAGGGAAGGAGGAAGAATATTGGGTTTCAGTCTCCCCTCGCCTGGCTACGTCGCTTGTGTAAACCTCATGGAGACAGCTGAAGGATGAGAAATCACCTGGATGTGGGAATCTTAAGGTTGATAATTATGAAGAGTAATAAGTTTTTATAAAAATCTGAACTAGAGTGATGGTTATTTCCCTGACACGGGACGCTTACCATTGTTTAGATGGTTGTTTAGTCTTTGACCCTAAATTCAAGAGTTTTAAGGGAAACCTTAAATTTGGGTCTCGAGTTTTTTTTTATTTCAGTTCAGTAGTCATTCTGAAATATTGTATGTGTACAGTCCTGGGTGTTCATTGGAAGGACTGATGCTGAAGCTGAAACTCCAGTACTTTGGCCACCTCATGCGAAGAGTTGACTCATTGGAAAAGACCCTGTTGCTTGGAGGGATTGGGGGCAGGAGGAGAAGTGGGCGACAGAGGATGAGATGGCTGGATGGCATCACTGACTTGATGGGCATGAGTTTGAGTAAACTCTGGGAGTTGGTGATGGACAGGGAGGTCTGGCGTGCTGTGATTCATGGGGTCGCAAAGAGTCGGACACAACTGAAATACTGAACTGACTGAACTGAGTGGTTTTCGGTGCTTTGGAAGCATATTGGCAATTTAATCAACTTTGTGTGAATAAATCTCCCTTAATAATGTCTTTTTAATTGTGGATTTGCAGAGGGATATCTGTTTTTGGTGGCACACCCTGAATTTTCTGTATTCATTTCTCTCTCACCAGACTTAAGACTGAGACCCTATTGAAGGAAGGTTTGGAAGGCTTCTTGAATGTCATTCTTCCTCATTATTAGGGAAAAGAAATGTCTGTCTATTTTTATCTTTCTTCTCAGGCTTTTGTGAAGTGAGGAGGAAAGTCCAGCCCCAAGGCCAGGCAGGATTTGAATGTGGTGATTCTCAGCAGTTCTGGGCACTTGTGGAAGAGTCAGGTCTCTTCTTGTTCCCACATGAGTGCATTCCCTTGTTCTGCCCCTTCTCTGAAAGGAGCCTGTTGGTCTCTTCTCTTCTGCCCATATTCTTATGACCTGGCTTACTGAACCTTCCAGAAGAAAATGTAAATGGCCTACATGAGCTTATGTACAGGATTCTCTCTTGAAGCCAAGAGGAGGCATATATTTCCAGAGTAATTTACTTGTGCCTCCTCCTGAAGCAGATGAATAGGAAGAACTATTTAAATTAAAGTATCATGACACAGGTCACAGTGGGTTTCAGGTCCTCTTGGCCTTGCAGTTAATAATGAAGTGCTATGAGGCAGGTCATCCTGACACAGAGGTGAGAGAACATGGGGACCAGCTGATGCCAAAATCAGAGGTGATCTCTCCATGGACGGAGGTGCTGCAGGCCCCAGGAGCTGATGTTCCCCTTGCACATGTTCATTCCACACATGTGGAGAGATTCCAGATCCTAGAAGACAGTCTGACCAATGGAAAAAATAGCCTCGTTTATTCTTCAGTGCTAATGTGTAAATATTTAATGGTTTGCTTTGAGGCACAAACCTCTACTAATCATGCTGTTGGTATTTCCTAGTCACACTAAGTTTCTCATGTAATTATTTCCTCAGTTTGTGTGTGCATTTAAGCAGATATTTATTACCAGGATAGTGTATATTTTTTTTAATCAAATCTTCCTTTGTCTTCAGTTTTTTCCTTAAGGTGAAAAAACTTCTTCAGCGCTTTCTTCTGTTAGTGTTCAGTAGTCCAGAAGATATTTTGTAGCACACTTTGTACAGGAAAATTATTTTAGAGATATTGTTTTGTAAACATACATTTGTAACTTTATTAATAATTAATGATTTAGATGTTTTTGTATTTTACTTTTGATATTCTGTACACATTGGAATAAAATGAAAAGAGGTTAAGGTACTAACATTCACTATTTTGGGGTATTTAGGAACCTGTTTTATTCACTGGAACAATGAGGAAAAATCTGGATCCCTTTAATGAGCATACGGATAATGAACTGTGGAATGCCTTAGAAGAGGTAATTTATTAATAGTAACTATAATTAACTTGTTAGCATCAGTATCTGTGTGTTTACATTTAGAGCATTGCAGATAATTAAGGGGAGCTTATCAGTTTCACTGACTTGGTTTACCTCCAGGAAAACATTGATGATATGGGTGCACTTAAAAATGTGTGTATTGATGATGATGAAAATCAACAATATAATGTGACATTTTCATTTTATCTATTTCCCTAGGACCCTGAACAAATAGATACATTATCTTGTCCTTAACAGAGTACCCAATTAGATGTTAAAACTGTGGGATCAAATTCTACTAGTGACCTAGTGAATTAATTACTCCATTACACTCCAATATTTATTTTATTCCTCTCATCTTAGGAAAAATCTACTAAGTGGAGACAATAGTAGTAGTTTTTCCTTATTAACTAAAAGATATAAACAAGATCATACTAATAAAATATAGAAGTTTCATAGGAAAGTGTCTATAAAGGTAAATTATATAGTCGGAATTGATGATGATTATTTATTGGCAATTATGTCATTCTAATGCTGTAGCATTAATGCAGGTAACAGAACCATGGAACATCTGCTCAGTTTTTATATGGGAAGGTTCATTTCTAGACAGTTTTCTGTTATTTGTGTCATGTTTTCCCTTGCCCCACTTCTTTGAATTTCCTCACCCTTGCATGAAAAAAATTTTTGACTATTAAGTTGTTGTCAGTTTGTACTTTAATACAAACTATTTTGTATATTTGCACTCGTTTTACAAATCAATTCTACTGATGGAAGAAACCCTAGACTTCTAAGCCATAGACAGACTTCTGATTTCTTCTAGGACCTAACACAGTCTTTTGCTTTTAAAAAGAATGAGCATTCCTATACATTAACGATGAAAGATCAGAAAGAGAAATTGAGAAAACAATCTCATTTACGTTTGCAACAAAAAGAACACCTAGGAATAAACCTACCTATCCCTATACCTAGGAACAAACCTACCTAAGGAGGCAAAAGACCTGTAATCATAAAGCTACAAGATACTGACAAAAGAAATCAAAGATGACACAAGACAGAGTGAGGGATGTACCATGTTCTTGGATTAGAAGAAACAATATTGTGAAAACAACTATACTACCCAAAGAATTTACAGATTTGACACAATCCCTGTCAAATTACCAATGGCACTTTTCATAGAATTAGAGCCAAAAATTTTACAGTTTTAATGGAAACACAGAGACCCCCAAGTAGGCAAAGCAGTCTTAAGAAAGAAAAATGAAGCTGGAGAAATTAGGTTCCCTGACTTCAGAATATATTATTGAGTTGGCCAAAATGTTTATTACAAAAGATTTTATGGGAAAACTTAAATGAACTTTTTGGCCAGTTCAGTACAGAACCAGAGTAATCAACATGGTATGGCACTGACACAAAAACAGAAATATAGATCAATGGAACAGGCTGGAAAGCCCAGAGATGAACTCACATACCTGTGGTCACCTAATCTATGACAAAGGAGGAAAGAAGATACAATGGAGAAGAGGTGGTCTCTTCAGTAAGTGGTGCTGGGAAAATTGGACAGCTATGTGTAAAAGAATAAAATTAGAACATTCCCTAATACCATATACAAAAAATAAACTCAAAGTGGATTGAAAATCTAAATGTAAGACCAGATACTATATTCCTCTTAGAGGAAAACACAGGGAAAACACTCTACCTAAATAACTATTAAATGTTTGATTGATCTTTTCATTTCAGAGAAGTGTGGCATATTTTTTTAATCTTTTGTTGTTCTTGTTGTTACACAAATCTGAGAGATTGATTGTTCACATTGGTTTGAAATTGGTGTGTTTGTCATTTCATGTTATCCTTCCAGGGAAGCTCTGAAATCTGTAATATACAGATGAGCCTTGACTGTGAGCAGGCAGATTTGGAGATATGACCATTTCCAGCCAGTAATTCTGGTTTCTGAAAGATGTCACCACTGAGTCTTTATACACTCACCCTGCTTTTCAGCAGCATGTGGATTTTGTTTTCTTAAATTGGGTCAATTGTTTCACCTTCTCCTGCCTGAAAAGCAGTGCACCTCTGCTTTCATTTAAGTTTGTGAATCTTTTACAGTAAAATTCTACAAGAGAAGAGGTGTATAGAGCAGTTAAAAATTAAATGTAAAGAATGAAAGGATGAGCCAGTACTCTTGAATTCATAGGACAAATTTAATGGTGAAATTGGGACACATGTTAAAAAAATAACTGGAAATGCTGGCAAATTACTTTTCTATTTGTTTCCCAGATGGAGATCTTTTTTCACAGATTCTCAGGTAGCATTACTTTAGAATTTTAGAACATATTGTTCCATGGACAGAGAGCCAATGTTAATCTAAATTATACAAATGCTGAAGTGGTAGATAATACTAAGATCTACTTCTATTTAAGCTACATTTGGAGCTTTCTTCAAAAAGAAAGAAATGTGAGTTTATTTCACAAAGTGAAGTGTATGGTGTCTATGTATTGCTTCTGGAATTAACCCTGTTAACTTTGGCGATATCACTTAGAGAAATCATCCCATCGTTGTGTTTCTCTGGGAATTGATTTCTTATGACTATTTTAAAAGAAAACTTACCAAATCACTCATTGAAAAACATACAAATGTGATAAGAAATAATTCCTAAAGAATCTGAATAAAGGTGATTTATCACTCTAAGTTATTGTTCAGTTGCTAAGTTACTCTTTGTGACCCCATGAACTACAGCACACCAGGCTTCCCTGTCCCTCACCATCTCCTGGAGTTTGCCCAAGTTCATGTCCATTGAATTGATGATGCCATCCAACCATCTCATCCTCTGTCTCCCTCTTCTCCTTCTGTCTTCAATCTTTAACAGCATCAGGGTCTTTTCCAGTGAGTCAATTGTTTGCATCAGATGGCCAAAGTATTGGAGCTTCAGCTTCAGCATCAGTCCTTCCAAAGAATATTCACCCTTGATTTCCTTTAAGATTGACTAATTTGATCTCTTTGTTTTCCAAGGGACTCTCAATAATGTTCTCCAGTACCACAGTGCAAAACCATTGATTCTTCAGCACTCTTTTGTCCAGCTTTCCCATCTGTACATGACTACTGGAAAGACCATAGGTTTGATTATATGGACCTTTGTCAGCAAAGTGGTATCTTTGCTTTTTAACACACTGTCTAGTTTTGTCATAGTTTTCCTGCCAAGAAGCAATCATCTTCTAATTTCAAGGCTACAGTCACCATCTGCACTGACTTTAGAGTCCAAGAAGAGGAAATCTGTCACTTCTTTTACCCTTTCCCCTTCTATTTGCTATGAAATGATGGGACTGAATGCCATGATCTTAGTTTTCTTAATGTTGAGTTTTAATCTGGCTTTTTCACTCTCCTCCTTCACCCTCATCAAGAGGTATCACTAAATCAAGTTTCCTCCTTCTTCCTTGGCAGAGATGGACATTCAGAAGGAAAACAGTCCTATGGATACTGCCTGTCTCATCTTGATTATTTTTCTAAATATGCTGAAAATATATTTTTCATGTACGAAAACTTGCCAACTTACTGTAAGCTGATAAAAGTTCATCAGAAATTAGTGCTGATTGCGGTGCTAAAAAGTAAAGGCAGTTCCAAAATTATAGCATGAGTAGTGCCTGAGGATGAAGCACTTTATCACTCAGAGGTTAAAAGATCACAGTAGATAAAACTCTGGAAATGAATCATTGATATGTTGCTTGCATTAAAAAGCAAAAACAAAACACCTTAGATACTGGGATTTGGAATTAAGAGTATTGTATGGGGGCTTCCCCTGTTGCTCAGTGATAAAGAGTCTGCCTGCAATGGGGGAGAAGTGGGATTGATACTTGAGTTGGGAAGATTCCCTGGAGGAGGAAATGGTAACCCACTCCAATATTGTTGCTTGGGAAATCCCATGGACAGAAGAACCTGGTGGGCTACAGTCCATAAGGTCCACGACTTAGCAACTAAACAATAACAAAAATGTCCTGTCAAAACTGGGAAGAGACTGTGCAGTTAAATGTCCACCTTTGATAGTGTCTTTGTTAGGACACAGCTGTGTCTCATCACACAGGAAACCAAGACACAGAAACCTGGGCGTCAGCAGCCTCTGCATCAGGAACCACGTGGTTCAGTCCTTGTGGTGGAGACAGGTCACATGTCCATTTCCCTGGGCCTTGTGTTAGGTGAACTTCCTTTATTGCTGGCTTTGCTCTAGTAAAAGCTCTTCCCCATATGTTGATTGCATTTCACTGTCTCCTCCTGGCCCACACCAGATTTTCTTTTTGGAAAAGCAAGAAAGTTCCACAAAATTTGGAAACCACCTGACATCTGTGTTCACCTCCTGTGAGGGGCATCAGCACCTACTACACATAGTGCACACAGTTATGATAGAAACGGGGGCCTTATAAGCCCAGTTTATTATTTTTCAGTTTTGCTATATTCTATTATTTTCCCAAGCTCAAAAATAATCTGAGGTATTCTATACTGAGATGTATAGTTTTGAATAGTTATTATATGTTCTATTTTCCTTTAATTATATCTTTTTCAGTGCTTTCCTTTGTTTAAAGTGTGATATGATATCTTGAAGTCAGTTAATTGTTATAAGAACATATCCTTTTTACAATTACTCTTAATAAGAAAACAGTGTTATATATAAATTATTTATCCATATGAATTTAGTTTCTAATTTACAGAAACAGATATGTCACGCAATTAGAGTCACTTATACCTTCATTCATGTTGTTGCTGTTTGTTGCGTCTGACTCTTCTGCAACCCCGTGAACTGTAGCCCGCCATGCTCCTCTGTCCATGGGATTTCTAGTGAAAAATACTGGAGTGGGTTGCAATTTCCTTAGCCAGGGGATCTCACCCAGGATCAAACCCAAGTCTCCTGCTTGGCAGGTGGATTCTTAACCACTGAGGCACCAGGGAAGCCCACCTTCATCCAGCCAACAGATATTTACTGAGAGCTTGTCAGGCAATGTTGCAGATTCTGGGGCTGTCACAGTCATCAAGAGACAAAATGTCAGTCCTTTTAGAGCTTAAGTTCTCCTGGGAAGCTGAAAAGCAAGCCAATGCATATGTAATGAAATCTCAGTGCTGATACATGCAAAGGAGAAAAGCGAAGCAATACATGACGCCGGGCAAGCCGATAGCATTATTAGTAATGGGCAATATCTATTGATCTGTCACAAATTCTGCATGTACTGACTCATTTAATATTCTTCACTATGTTAGGATGTACACACCTTTATAATTATGATATTATAGCCTTACTTAGAGTTTAGAAAGCTAAGGTAGAGTAGGTTCAGGAACTTGCCCAGTTCCTTGCCCAGCACAGCCAGGCAAGACTTACGCCCATGCTGCTTGGCTTCAAGTCTCCAGTTTATTCTTGTTTGGCTGCAAAAAAGAAAAAAAGAGTCAACAAAAGAGTCCAAAATGCAGTGCTTGGGTGCAATGTCAAAAATAACAGAATGATCTAGGTTCATTTCCAAGGAAAACCATTCAGTATCACAGTAATCCAAGTCTATGCCCCAACCACTAGTGCCAAAAAAGCTTAATTGAACTGTTCAGTGAAGACCTACAAGACCTTCTAGAACTAACACCAAAAAAAGATGTTTTCTTCATTATAGGGAACTGAAATGCAAAAGTAGGAAGTCAAGAGATACCTGAAGTAACAGGCAAGTTTGGCCTTGAAGTACAAAATGAAACAGGGCAAAGGCTAACAGAGTTTTGCCAAGAGACCGTGCTGTCATAGCAAACACCCTCTTCCAGCAACAGAAGATACGACTCTACACATGGACATCAGCAGATGGTCAATACTGAAATTAGATTGATTATATTCTTTGCAGCTGAAGATGGAGAAGTCCTATACAGTCAGCAAAAACAAGACCGGGAGCTGCCTATGACTCAGATCATGAACTGCTTATTACAAAATTCAAGCTTAAATTGAAGAAAGTAGGGAAAATCACAAGCTATTCCGATATGACCTAAAAAAAAATCCCTTACAAATTTTACAGTGGAAGTGACAAGTAGATTCAAGGGATTAGTTCTGATAGAAAGAGTGCCTAAAGATCTATGGACAGAGGTTTGTAACACTCTACAGGAGGTGGTGAACAAAACCATCCCCAAGAAGAAGAAATGCAAAAAGGCAAAATGGTTGTCTGAGAAGGCCTTACAAATAGCTGAGAAAAGAGAAGCAAAAGGCAAAGGAGAAAAGGAAAGATATACCCATCTCACTGCAGAATTCCAAGGAATAGCACAGAGAGATAAGAAAGCCTTCCTAAGTGATCAATGCAAATAGATAAAGAAAACAGTAGAAAAGAAAGACTAGAGATCTCTTCAAGAAAATCGGCGATATCAAGGCAGCATTTCCTGCAAGGATGGGCACAATAAAGGACAGAAACGGTGTAGACCTAACAGAAGCAGAAGATATTAAGAAGAGGTGGCAAGAATACATGGAAGAGCTATAAAAAAAAAAAAGATCTTAATGACACAAATAGCCACAATGGTATGATCACTCACTCAGAGACAGGCATCCTGGAGTGTGAAGTCAAGTGGGCCTTGGGAAGCATCATGATGAGCAAAGCTAGTGAAGGTGATGGAATTCCAGCTGATCTATTTCAAATCCTAAAAGATGATGCTGTGAAAGCACTGCAGTCAATATGCCAGCAAATTTGGAGGACTCAGCAGTGGTCACGGGGCTGGAAAATGTCAGTCTTCATTCCAATCACAAAGAAGGACAGTGCCAAAGGGTTTTCAAATTACTACACAATTGTACTCATTTCACATGCTAGCAAGGTAATGCTGAAAATCCTTCACGCTAGGCTTCAACAGTACATGAACCAAGAACTTCCAAATGTACAAACTGAATTTAGAAAAGCCAGAAGAACTGGAGATAAAATTGCCAACATCCATTGGATCATCGAAAAAGGAAGAGAATTCCAGAAATACATCTGCTTCATTGACTACACTAAAGCCTTTGGCTGTGTGGATCACAACAAACTGTGGAAAATTCTTAAAGAAATAGGAATACCAGACCATGTTACCTGCCTCCTGAGAAATCTGTATGCAGGTCAAGAAGCAACAGTTAGAACCAGACATGGAACAACTGGTTCCAAAGCAACAATTTGGACTGGTTCCAAATTGGAAAAGGAGTACCTCAAGGCTATATATTGTCACCTTGCTTATTTGACTTAAATGCAGAGTACATCATGCAAAATGTCAGGCTGGATAAAGCACAAGCTGGCATCAAGTTTGCTTGGAGAAATATCAATAATGTCAGATATGCATCTGACACCACCCTAGTAGTAGAAAGTGAAGAGGAAAAAGAGCATCTTGATAAAAGTGAAAGAGGAGAGTGAAAAAGCTGGCTTAAAACTCAACATTCAAGAAGCTAAGATCATGGCATCCTGTCTTATCATTTCATTGCAATAGATGGGGAAACAATGGAAACAATGACAGACTTTATTTTCTTGGGCTCCAAAATCACTGCAGATGGTGACAATGACTGCAGCCATGAAATTAAAGGATGTTTGCTATAGAGAAGAGAAGCTATAACAAACCTAGACAGAATATTAAAAAACAGAGATATTTCCTTGCCAACAAAGTCCATGTAGTCAAACCTATGGTTTTCCCAGTAGCCATGTACCAGTGTGAGAGTTAGACCATAAAGAAGGCTGAGCACTGAAGAACTGATGCTTTTGAACTGTGGTTCTGGAGAAGATTGTTGAGAGTCCCTTGGAGACCAAGGAGATCAAACCAGTCTATCCTCAGGGAAATCAACCCTGAATTTTCCATGGAAGGACTGATGATGAAGCTGAAGCTCCAATACTTTGGCTACCCTATGTGAAGAGACGACTCATTGGAAAAGACCCTGATGTTGGGAAAGATGGAAGGCAGGTGGAGAAGGGTATGAAATAGGAAAGATGGTTGGATGGCATCACCCATTTAACAGACATGAGTTTGAGCAAACTCCAAGAAATAGTGAAGGACAAGAAACCCAGGTGTGCTGCTATCCATGGGGTTGCAAAATGTTGGACACAACTCAGCGACTGAACAATAACAACCTATATCCATATGCTGGGGGAGATAAGATGTTTTGTTTTATTTTTCATGTGTTTTCATTCACTACAGTGCATTTATGACACTGAAGAAAATGCACTTGATTGGTCCACTATTTATAGCATTAAACTTGGGAAAGAACTATCATCAGAATGGGCTCCAGGATTACTAATGTATATGGGGCAGTTTGACCTTGTTTGAACTTGCATATATTAAACTTTAGAAAATAGTAAAGAGCCAATAAGATTATATCTTCAGAGAACCAGATTTTCTGTAAAATTAAAAAAATTTTTTTTGTTTATTTTTATTAGTTGGAGGCTAATTACTTTACAATATTGTAGTGGTTTTTGCCATACATTGACATGAATCAGCCATAGATTTACATGTGTTCCCCATCCTGAACCCCCCTCCCATCTCCCTCCCCATGCCATCCCTCTGGGTCATCCCAGTGCACCAGCCCTGAGCACTTGTCTCATGCATCCAACCTGGACTGGCGATCTGTTTTACACTTGATAATATATATGTTTCGATGCTGTTCTCTCAGATCATCCCACCCTCGCCTTCTCCCATAGAGTCCAGAAGTCTGTTCTATACATCTGTGTCTCTTTTTCTGTCTTACATATAGGGTTATCGTTCCCATCTTTCTAAATTACATATATATGCGTTAGTATACTGTATTGGTGTTTGTCTTTCTGGCTTACTTCACTCTGTATAATGGGCTCCAGTTGTAAAAATTTTTGAAAACTTTTCTCTAGCATACCAACTCCTATGCAAAATGTAATTTGGGAAACTTGACTCAACCATAAAGATCCTTTTAACTTTTCTGTTTCAATCATCTGGGGAGACATAGCTTCACTTTTTGAGAGACTTCCTTAACTAACCCCTGCGTGGGGCTTCTGGTGGATGTGCTGTGGTGGGATGGGGGACACTGAGATCTTTCTGTCCTGAATTGACTCCACCATCTTTCTCAGTGAACACTCATTGGAAGGAGCTATCCCCATCACCTGGCTGTACATGTAAGATATGTAAGAAGTCCTGAGATGTCAAAGCTCTAGTGTCTAAGAGGCTCATCTACTTTAGTAGCAGTTTGCTTAGAAAAATATCATTCTTTCTGTATCCACAGGTACAACTTAAAAAATCCATCGAAGGTCTTCCTGCTAAAATGAATACTGAATTAGCAGAATCTGGATTGAACTTGAGTGTTGGTCAGAAACAACTGGTGTGCCTTGCCAGGGCTATTCTCAGGAAAAATCAGATATTGATTATTGACAAAGCCACATCATACGTAGATCCAAGGTATGGAGCTGAGCCCCAGGAAATCTTAAACTGACTTGTAAATGTGGTAAATGGAAAATGTTTAGTGAATCTTCGAAATGTTTCTAAGTGCCCTCTTGGCCTTATGAATATCTGTTGATAATATTAATTCCAGAAAACAAAGGAAAAAGCCAAGACATGTTTTATTGTGTTAATATCGTTATGAGGCATCCTAAGAGAGCTAAATTCCTAAATTCAGCTCCTGAGAGTTTCAAACAATTTTGAGGGAGGACTGATTTTCCATCACTTTATGAAAAATAATAAAATTCTAAGACATTTTATACTTAGTTTTTTAGGAACAAGACTATATGTTAAAGTACTGATTTTTAAAAACATTGTAAAAATATCATAGGATATTTTTAAGTCTTAAGTCTGCTTTTCCTGTCTTTACTGAGCTAAATCAACTTCTTTGTTTCTAGAACTGATGAGTTAATACAAAAAAAAATTCGTGAGAGATTTGCCCAGTGCACTGTGCTGACCGTTACACACAGGTTGAGCACCATTATTGACTGTGATAGGATAATGGTAAGACCCTCACCATTTTAGTTGTTTCCATTTATGTTCAATTTTCAGTGTATCCTTCTGTGTAAAATTTGTTAGGAACCTCCATTAATTTTTCTCTTAGTTTCGTCTCTCAATCCTGAACATTACTCAAATGCTTAACTATACTTTTAGAATGCAGTATTAAATAATATATCCAATAATCTTATATTGTATAAATAATCTTAAAAGTTTATTTGAATTGTCATTTTTTTTTTGTGATGGCCAACCATTAAAATATTCCAAATCCAAGTTATAGCTCCATATTTTAGTGGGGAAGAACATAGTCATTTTCACTGTGTCATAGTTGTTTCAGCATTTTTGGGTTCCCTTATCAAAAAATTAGCCTCTAATTTAGCCTGCCAGGAAGCTGGTGGCTAAAGTTGTAGAATTTCTCAGGAGTCCAAGAGAAGAAACGGCCTAGTGAGAAAAACAGTATTTTAACTGAAAGGATTTAATATAAGAAATTTATTACATAGGGATTAGAGGGCTAGAAAAATGAAACACTGGGGTAATGATTTTAGAAAGCAGCCACCATATCCTAGGACAGATCTCCAGACCTGAGAACTCAGAAGAGAGGCCCTAAAGAACTGATGCTCAGACCTCCAAGGAGAGGTCACTGCCCAGTTGCTGGTCATATTTGTGAGGGGGCAGCATGGGGCTGGTTCTCCATGTGCTAATAATAGTCAGGTCCCAGTGCTGAGGTGATGCTAGTAGCAGAATCAGGTAGAACATTAGCTGTGTTTCCCACCTTCAGTCTCCCTCTAGTGCCCCCTACTGGCAGAACCTAACAAAGGCCACCTGGCCAAAGAGTCTCTGAACTCTTGCAGTGACTTGCAGAGACCCAGCTTCTGCATCACAGATGAGAGTTTGAAAAGAAAGGCAAATCAGGGATGAGAGATTAAATAAACAACCAGCAAGTCTCTTACACAATATTTCTGTTCTGCACACACGGCAAGCTCCAGTCTTTGGTCTCTGGATTTCTGTCTAGTATCTTTCTTCCAGGTTTGGTTGGCTCTTTATTCCTTAGTAATTTAATATTTCCTTCCTTAGCTTTATTTCCTTCCTCCATCTATGCCTTTTCTCTCTCTTTTTCATTTTATCTCTTTCCTTATCATTTCCCTCTGTTGCTTTCTCAGTTTCAATAAATGTTAGGATGTGGCTTTATAAAACAAGAAAAGCATTCCTCAAAGGAAAAACTTTGGCAGCAAATAATCTCAAGGAATGCAAGATACTTTAGGGTATTTTGATGGTCCATACAAATCAGGAAATAGTCACGAATGAGTGGTCAGTAATACCCACGGTTCCTTATTTCTAAGGGTAATATTACCATCTCTTTTGATTTCTTGGGCAGCTTCTGGAATATCACCTCCTGTCCTACTTCACATGCATTGTCAGAAGTGATTATCAGTGGGGCACTGAGTAGATACCAGGCTGTCAGCATTGAGGCAGTGCCTGTAGCCTCACTCCCCAAGCTGGGCGTGCACAAGAGTGAGCTCTGGGGAGGCAAACGACAGGAGTGGGGCATCCCCAACCAAAGGGATGCTCTAGGCTCCAAGCAGTGTGTCTGGTCACCTGGACTAGATATCACAGTAGGAAGCAGGGTCTACCTGCAGACTTTCATGAGAGATGGGGTGGCATTCAAGATTGTCCTACAGTGACTCTTAATTTCTAGAAATGCTTTGTGTCAGGCATCTTTAGTCCTTCATTTTGTGTTCTTGAATGCTAATTGGAAAAGTAAGCTTTTATTTCTAGTTTTTACCTGTCACTTTATTGTTCTTACCTCTCAACATTGTATTTCAAAGACTGTCCCCCAAAGCACCATCTTTCCATAGTAAATAAATAATGCTGTGAAAGGTAGCTGTTTCAAGCCCTTTGTAAGGCTTTAGACATAGCAGCAGAAAGGTGACTTGATCTCCAGCTGAGTTAAGGGTCTGTTCAATTAGATTCTTTGTTCCTAAATGTACCCTGAAGATTTATTTTTGATTTTTGGTATTATAGCATTAATGACATTCATGGTAGCAGATTCTTTTTATAATCTAATTCTTAGAAATACTGTCAGCTTGAAATGTGTGGTTGGTTAGGGAAACTGAAGAAGGACAGAATTTGGAGGACATGTTGCCTGGTCAGTCCTAAAGTGTTATTACTCAGCATCTCATCTGCAGATGTGAACATCTATATCCTCTGAACCAGTCAGCTTTGTTGGTATTATCAAAATGCGTTCATTTTTTTTAATGCTTTACTTACTGATTTATTGTTCAGTCAGTCACCTTTGTGACCCCATGGACTGCAACATGCTAGGCTTCCCTGTCCTTCACTATCTCCCAGAGCTTACCCAAACTCATGTCCTTTGAGTCGGTGATGTCATCCAACCATCTCATCCTCTGTTGTCCCCTTCTCCTCCTGCCCTCAATCTTTCCCAGCATCAGGGTCTTTTGCAGTGAGTCAACTCTTCACATCAGGTGGCCAAAGTACTGGGGCTTCAGCTGCAGAATCAGTCTTTCCAATGAGTATTCAGGGTTTATTTCCTTTGGGATTGACTGGTTTGATCTCCTGCAGTCCAGGGGACTCTCAAGAGTTTTCTCCAGCACCACATTTCAAAAGCATCAATTCTTTGGCTGGCACTCAGACTTCTTTATGGTCCAACTCTCACATCCATACGTGACTTCTGGAAAAGCCATAGCTTGGACTATATGGGCCTTTGTCAGCAAAGCAGTGTCTCTACTTTTTAATACACTGTCTAGGTTTGTAATAACTTTTCTTCCAAGGCGCAAGCGTCTTTTACTTACCAATATCTCCTGGTCAATTTCTATAACCTCAGATTTTTCTCTCTTGGTCAATGTCTGTGAACAAATCTTTAAAGTAGATATGAAGCAGTGCACTGCCCGTCCCTCCCCAACTGTTTAGTTCTGTCCCACTCTGCTCTCCCGCCTTCCTTTACAGCTGAAACCACACTGACGGTCTCTCAGTCCTCCAGATTCAGTGTTCACTGTCTTACAATGCGCCCTCTCTAGACTGTTGGCTTATAAGATGCCTGCAGTGGACATGGTGAGATGGTGGGACTTGGGGTAGATAAGGAAGTGGAGCCAGGTGGACTGCGTGATGGATTGCATATGGGATCTGAGGGCAGAGAAACAAGTTGATGCTGGTTTCTGGATGCAGAGACTGAGCAACTAAGTGAATGGGTAAGATGGAGGGAGAAGGGAAATGCAAGGGTTCTGTTTGGAGCCTATCACCTTTGTGATGAATGACCTTGTTTCCAGGAAAGGACCTTACCATTCACTGTGGAGCTGCTCTTCCCACTCCTGTGTTGGGAGACCTTCAGTGTAAGGTTCCTTGATTGAGGTCACCAGTGATATCATGGGGAGGTCCCACCAGGAGATGTAAGCTTGGCCCCGTGTTTACATCTCGGTCTGAGCTGGTTGTGGTTGCTGACTCCTCTGGTAGGAATAACAGGATTAGACCTCAGGGCACCAAGAGACAGGCATCCCCCAGCTTCAGGGTTGGGGATCGTCCTCTGTGCTCCATTCACCCCAGGTGTAAAGCTTGTATGTTATTCTAGAGCTTCTGATTACCAGTCGGCTTTCAATTCAGCAAAAACGTCACAAATAATGTTCTTTCTCAAACCTTCAATTTTTGAGGCAATCTTATTTTTATTGCTTGCTTTAGAACTATAGACATACCTTGTTTTATTGTGCTTCCCAGATACTGCATTTTTTACAAATTGAGAGCTTGTCATAAACCTGCATCGAGCAAATCTATAGGCACCATTTTTCCATCAGCATCTGCTTCTTCCATGTCTCTGTGTCACCTTTTGGTAATTTCTCACACTATATCTAACATTTTCACTATCATTGCAGTTGCTTTGGTGAGCTGTAACATCAATGATCTTTGATATTACTACTATGACTTACTGAAGTCTCTGATGATGGTTAATATTTTCTAGTAGTACCTTATTTTTAAGTTAAAGTCTGTACATTGTGTTTTTCTTTTCAGATATAATGCTATTGCACTCATGCTTGGGTATAGTATAGTGTAAACATAACTTCTATACCCTGGAAAACCAGAAACTTCCTGTGATGCACATTACAGCAATATTCACTATATTCTGGTGTTCTGAAACTGAACCTGCAATAGCTCTGAGAGATGCCTATACCAGTTCCTTTCTGGAAAGCAAATGATTGTCTGTTCTGAAAGCTTTAAGGAAATAAAGAAAAGTCAATCTGCTGCAAAGCCTGATGCTTCACAAGGCAGGCTGCCAGCCTGGGGGAGGGGCTTGGGGAAGTGACAGAGCTGACGAAGGGCATAACCAACAGTGATGTCAGCATAACCAACAGTGATGTCACCATAAAGTCCTGTCAGTGCAAGAATTTTATTTTACAAATAAATTATCTTAATTTTAAGTATCTTGTCATGTATGCATGTGAGAGTTGGACTGTGAAGAAACCTGAGCACCGAAGAATTGATGCTTTTGAACTGTGGTGTTGGAGAAGACTCTTGAGGGTTCCTTGAGCTACAAGGAGATCCAACCAGTCCATCCTAAAGATTAGTCCTGGGTGTTCATTGGAAGGACTGATGTTGAAGCTTAAACTCCAATACTTTAGCCACATCATGCGAAGAGCTGACTCATTGCAGAAGACCCTGATGTTGGGAAGGATTGGGTGCAGGAGGAGAAGGGGATGACAGAGGATGAGATGGCTGGATGGCATCACCAACTTGATGGACATGAGTTTGAGTAAACTCCAGGAGTTGGTGATGGACAGGGAGGACTCGCGTGCAGTGATTCATGGGGTCGCAAAGAGTCCGACATGACTGAGTGACTGAACTGAACTGAACTGAACTGAAAGATGTCATAACAGCATCAAAGTTATGATTAGGCATAAAAGGCATAACAGCAACTAAGTTAATCTTCCTCGTTTGCTCCAAAATAGTGGAGCATGACAGACAAATTAGAAATCTGTTTTCTCCTAAGACTCACCACTGTCTCTACATTAGAGGGTTCTTCC